TTATTACAGAAACACATCTTCCTCCTGCTCTTCCTTATCTTCCTATACTTCATTTTTCTTTCCTTTCTGTGCTTCTCATCCTTTTCCTCCTCTTGCAACCCTAGTTATCATTTCGCTATGGTTGTATGCGTTAACTTTCTCTTTTGGCTTTATCTTCATTGTACATTTTGCCCGTGTGTGTGTGCTCTAAGTGACTGCTTATCAAAGGGGCATTATGGAGTTTCCAGCGGCTACTAGCGGTGCGGTTTTAAGATTGCAACCAGGCGTCTGCTCGTACGCGTGCTCGCTTGAACTCATGATCGAGCATAACCCGAAACACAACCACTTTCATACAGAAACACCACAATAAACACAGGAACACCAGCATGCAGGCTGTGGCTTTTCTCCAGACATGTTCAGGCTCTGTTACTTCGATGTTCCCGTCTCAAAGGCAGATCAACACCGGCTCTTTAACGTTACTTCATTCAGCGCAGCGAGCCGCATATCGGTACAATCCTCCCAGAAAAAAGGCAGAGTGACAGCGGCTATAGACAGACAGGGAGAACAGACAGAGCTGGAAACTCAGGTATACTCCCACTGCAACGTTACAGTAATAGTTTTATCGGCTGCAGGTTGAACTAATCCATGCTCGTTACATGATCACAGTACATTTACTGCATTTAGCCGACTGCTACAGCGTTAGCTCGCGCTGCTTCTCAGTAACTATCTTTATTCTGTGAATCTTTCACTGGAGGCTCAGCAATGTCAGCACAGCTACATGTATTGGTTGATGAAACGGTTAGTGAGCTGGACTGAATATTATAACGAGATTGTGTCACACTTTATAACATTCAGACCGCAGCAAGTAACTTTACTGTAACTAGTGATATAGGATGGCTCTTCCTCTGTGTTGTTGTGACCGTTATGTTGCAGTGTTTTATGTTATGTGGGTCATGTTAGTTACAGCGAGGTGGAGAAGCTGTGTACCTGCGTATCAGTAAAACCACAATAAACCTAAACTGAACGTTACGAAGCAAACAGCGGCAGGTCGGATCTACTGTAGCATTAGCTAGCTGCTCCTTTACGTTAGTAAACAACATTCCACATTTCAGTGTTTCCCATACGTTAATTTTTTGTGGCGGCCCGCCACAATCAACGCTGACCGCCACACTGGTTTTCGATTTTTTTTTACTAAGCCTATTTAAAATCTTATTTGATTGCAGAGCGCCGTAGCGCATTTGCGCAGCTCTTCCTCTCGCTTGTCTCTCACTCACCCGTACCTCTCTCTCTCTCCCTCATGGAACACAGCTGCACGCTGTCAATGTCGGAGACCCAGCTTAAAAAAAGTTATTAGCAGGCATGTAAGGAGCCTAGCTAATAAGAGAGCTAAGTTAATGAGGCTAGCATGCTGTATATAGCTGGTAGTTAATATTAATGCACTCGTGCACGCACGCATAACTTTGCACCGGATAACATTAGCAACTGCTCGGCGTTAGCCTGCTAATGTGACTTTCTCTGTGTGTCTCCAGCTTTACTAATGCTCACTGTGTTCTTACTCGACTTCACCTGAGCCTGTTTGGTCTGATGGGCTTCAGCACCTTTATTGTTGTTTTGTATCCTTACGTGGAGCCTGTGTTTTGCTGTGAGCCGGTTGTTTTATAGTGCTAGTGGACTGCATGTCGTTAGCTGCCGTGTTGTCGCTGTAGTCAGAGAGAGGCTCGGGAGTGCGCACAGGGCTGAATCCGACCCCCAACCACCAACAATCCTACATTTATCCGATACAAAAGGATGCTGATTATTTCACTGCTTCAGTTTAGGTTTAATATTCTGTTTATATACAACAACATTTCTGGTTCTATTCAAATACCAAACACTAGTGGTGTATTTCAATCAATGTAAGTTCAATCACTGAAAATACAACAAGCCAATCCTTTTGGGAAAGCACAAAATAATAAACTGCAATTTCAAAACTGTTTGACAGTAAACACATGGGAAATGTCTGGCAGTTACAAAGGCATTTTGAATTGATGAACTGATTTGAACTTTAAATGAGGCGTCTGTATTGGACTGAGCATGTGATTGAATGTTTTTCACTACTTATCTTTGGGTTTAAAAGTTAAGAATTTAGATATGCATGTTGTTTTTTGCAAATCAGACTTTTACATATAACACTGCTGTGAAAACGTACAATGGTGAAATAATATGAAAGCAACATTAATCCAATTTTTCTATGCCAACGAATCAAACTGAATCTTATCCATCAGGTCAGATGGATACACAGACTGGAACAAATCCAGTCCACACACACACACACACACACTCACACACTCACACACACACACACACACACACAGCAGTCTGACCTGTGTGTTGTACTGCTGGCGGTGGGTGGCACGTCGTAGATGTCCTGCTGGGTCGGAGGCTGATGTCTGGGTGGGACGTCGTACTCGTCCTGGTCTGGTTTCACTGTGTCATACACATACACCTGTCCAACCCGAGTAGGAACTACCACCTGGACGAGAAACAGGCAGCTGTGATTCAGGACTAACACAAAGATATGTAGTCACACTGCACACATTAGTCTGACGGTAAGAGGAACGATATCAACCCTACTAGAAATATTTGATCAACAGACAGAGAAAAGCTTTATGTTTATGAACAGAACGTTATAGTACAAACAAAGATTAAACTCCTATCTTATTCCATATGGTCCCTTTGTCTAAAAAAGCCATTTAGCCTGTGTTTATGTGACTATGGCAACCTGCAAAGGTCAATGCAGCACCGAGTCTCTTTCATCAGACTCTAAAGTTAAAAACCTAAAAGGCTTCCTCACCTCTGAATGAGAATGTACCGCTTCTTCACACTGAATGAACACAGACTTAAGGTTGTTCAGTCTCATTACAACATGCTGCTGACACACAGACACACATAGGCAATAAAAACAGAGCAGGGGTCCTGTCATAGTTGTCGTGGGAACCAGGCTGTTCTATTGTGTGCCTGTTTAAACTGTGTATTATATGGTTTGAGTGCAGAGTCAACCAGCAAGCCTGGGAAACCACAACAGCTATGGTATACAACACACAACAAAGTTTGTTATCACAGCACACACTCTGAGTATCCTTTCATCATCCTCTCTTCTCTCCTTTTGCTTTCCATGATATCTTCATGTCCTGGTTAAACCAAATATTACCCGCGTCAGCTGCAGAAATGCTGTGAAAGTGTAACCAGGCCTTATGCCCAACAATGGAATATCGTTTCTTATTAGCCAGCACGCTAACCACCAACACTGCCACCAAAATCAGTCAGTCATTCACTCTGGAGTGGACACTCATTTGGTCATCCCTGGTTCCCCTGCTCTTCAGGGTAAGCTAGTGTAGCCTAACTACGTCCTTATCCATCTCTGAACTGAAGAAAGATGAAAGTGATAACTCTGGATAAGAGAAGAGAACAAGATAATTCCTGAAAAGTTGGATATAGGATGTATTGTCAGACATTCTATGTAGCTCAGTGTTGTCATGATCATTTCATTTAACTATAGTGCCATTTGTTGTATTGTCTACTGTCTGTAGATTATCGTATAAGTCTGTTGTAATGTTTTCTTGTTGTCTGTGTTTTATTATTCTTTCATTTGGTTTCTTTGGCTTCTTTGTGTCTGGTTTTTAAGGTTTGTTGTTGTCCAGCGTCTTCTGTCTGTTGTTTTTAATCCTAGTACCCATTCCCTACAGGAGACCCCTGTCTCCTGCCTGGTCGTTATTGTAAATAAGAATCTGTTCATAATTAACTTGCCTGGTAAAATCAGGTATAATAAAAATAAAAATCCAAAAAACATAACAAAACAAACACTAGCTTACAGTATGCTATAAATGATGTGCTGCACTGTTCCATGCTATGTATTAGAACCGAAATCAAGCAAAGGTCCAAAAAAACCTTTAAAGATAAATGTCATCATGTGAGCTACATAAATGTAAATACATAACAAAACAGAATAATACAGAATGTTATAGTGTATTCTATAATATACAGCGTATCTGCGGGGAAAATCGTTATCTAAATGTTTAATTCCAAATACCCATCATCAGTATCAGACCTAACATCCCGTATCGCTCTGTCTGTGTTTGTAAGTCAAATCATTATTTAATCCCACTCAGCTCCAGCCCTGATTAATGGAAGCTCTCTGATAATATTTGCTCAGCTCCCCAGCTGTCAGAGGTACGCCAAGCGGGAGACAGACAGAGACAAATGATAAAACCATCTATTAGACAACCTGTCTGTAATAATCTGCCTCAGCCTCCTCACCCCCCTCTGTCTCCTAACACGTTCTCTCCGTTCCTTTCCACAGGAGGGGAAATTCTAACTTTTTTTCTCCAGAGGGATAATTTTATCACTAGCTGTACAATAATAAGAACAAATTCCTTAAAATCTGAGAAACAGTATTTGTTTACATCATTTTCTCTAATTCTTAGTCTGTCACACGTAAACACCCCTCTCCTCATTGTCAGAAAGCTTTCATCAGTATTGCCGACACTTGGCTAAGAGCCAGATGTGTCCTGCAGACACACATGCACGAATTCACCCACGCACACGCACACACACACACACACATACACACACACACACACGCCATCCCCAGCCTGTCTGTGTACACCCTAGACACTCACGCTAAGTGATCTGTGTGTGTGTGTGTGTGTGTGTGTGTGTGTACGGTCTAGTAATAGTAATAACGTGTGGATTCATGTTTGGATCTAATGATGAGATCAGCGTTGGTGAACTTCACATGACCAACAGAAAGGTTGCTTCGACTGAGGCCCCATCCCTGGTTTTCCTTTTAAAACACAGACCTTTCGCTACATTTGCACCTCCCGTCCAGACTAAACAGTGACTCGAAAACGCTGCCAAGCCCGTTTTTATTTTAAAACTCCGGGGTGGCGTTTTAATGCGGACGAGAGAAAACGGAGGACGCAGACACTCACGTTTGGCTTCCTGACTGTGTCTTATCAGTCATGCAAAGCAAAGAAACAAAGCTACTGACAGAGTTTTAGTTTTGGTATTTTATTAAAATATTTTGTACTGTGTAAATAACACTTACACACTACTGTGCATGTCGCCGTATGTTGCTTTGGACTCGTTGTCGGTTCATGCAAAAATCAAATATCTGGTGTGGTTCTTCGTCTCTAATATTACTTTTTTCTTTCGCCAAATCTACTGCAACTGCTTCATGTTTACACCAGCACGCGCATGCCTAGTGTACGTGAACGGCCAGTAGATCAATTCTGATACCCAGCTAAAATGCTGGTGTGGATGGAGATCGTTTTGTTTTAAACTCTATATGTAAACTAAAATGTAATAGTGCAGATGTGGCCTAAAACTACCTCTGACAGAACGGTTGTACTGTGGAGTATGGATGCACGTGTAGTTTGCAGTCATCGAATTTACTGGCACAATGTTACAAATGTGAATTGACAATGAACGTGTGTGAACCTCCCATTCTCTAACTGCAGCTAACCACGTAACCAGAGAACGTATTGGCTCTATCTTACCAACGTTAATTTTCCTTTCAAAGGTTGCTAAAGTATGTTACCTCCTCTTTGTATCATTCATTGTGCACACACATGCATTTGTGGCATTGGAAACACCAGTATCTCACAACTGTGGTGGATTGGCTCTGAAGTACCTTGAACTGACTGTCTTGACTTGATTCTTAAGCTTTAGCAAGCTCAATACACAGAGCAGCTTTCCCAGCATGCAACATGAGCCACCAGACAGCTGTTTCAAGTTTCTGTTCAGCCTGGTTTCTTATGTCTCATCAGAGAACTTTGGCCTGAGGACAGCTGTATGCTTTCAGATTCACTGACCTGCAAATCCACCAAAGAAAATATTCTGCATGTCGCATTCTTAGAATAAATCAGTAGCCTCATAAAAGATGCAGATACTCTGACTTCACACGCTTTTGTTTATGAGGATTCAGTGAAGGACAATTCCTCTACATGCAAATATGCACACACACACTCTGACAGAGGGGAATGTGTGGCACAAACTGAGATGTTCACTCCTTTGTTCTGTGTGTAATATTACATCAAGCAGAGCACCTGCTCTATGTGAAGAGTGCAATGAGATATTTTCTGTCATGAATATGAATGTGCTATATAAATAAAACTGTATTAAATATTATCTGGTGGTAAATACAGCAAATTCTCCAATGAATCTGACTAGAATCTAATCCAGATCTTCCAGCTTCAAAATGACCACTGTAACCACACACAGAGGCAAATATATTTTACATACATGCAGCTGCAGCAGAGAACACATATAAAATAAAGCAAAATAAATCTTCACAGCACAGATGTAAAGTTCAAGAGAAAATGGGTAATCTTAGAGAGAGGCATAATTACAGTAGGAGGGTTGGGTGGTTTGTCTGAACTGGTGGACATGGCTGCTTTAGATCCAGAGCTATGCTCTCACTCTGCTCTCTGCTTTGTTTCTGCCTGTTTTGGTGGAGAAATCCAGAATGAGAGGTCCAATGATCAAAGTCCGCAAGGTAGATATATATGTATACAGTCAAACTGCTGCATTTCTCAATGCATAGAAAGAATTTTGTAATACTCATATACTGTTTCACAATTGTTCGTCCTCATGTACTTGTAGTAGTAAGGTAGTTTTCTGTATTTAAAAGTTCATCAGTCATTTGTGCAATGATGTTCTCTTTCTGTGCTCCTTGTACTGACACTGAAGACTTTTTGGGTCTGACACTAGCTTTATTAAGCCAGCCTAAATATTCTTCAATTATACACAAGAAAAATATAAATTGAAAGACGTGGTTTAACATACCATTAAAAAGATATACAGGACCAAAAATAAATAAATATACATTAACACACACAAACCCATACTGTATTTCATTTTTAAAACATGCCTAGATTAGTCTACGCATACAAATCTATACATAACAGCCGCCTGTATGTACTAAATACTTACAGTATTTGCAGTGGAACATAGCCACTGTGTGAATACATAATATAAACATGCAGAGATGCATGCCAGAAAGCCATGTATGTGTGAAGTTGTACTATGCACATATGTACTGTATCGTGCACCAATTTGCATTAAAATTATTCTCATCAGATTTTCATTTGGTGTGTCCTGCCAGCCACTTGATTCTACAATGATACTCTTTTCTTGAATTTCCATTTTTTTTGAGCAGTTATAAGATGAAAGCGAGTTTGATGCACTTTAAGTCAATTGGTGTAGTGACCTCTAACATTCATGTGCATTCAGACCAAACACAAAGCAAGGGTTTGGGGCGGCGCCATTACATGCAAAGTGAATGCAAAGATGTGAAGGGATTCGCGAGAAAGTTGACAGCTATCCATGATGACCTCTACTCTGTGCTCCCACCATGACACTGTTAACAGTGCTTAACCACAAACCAACAATGAAACATATACTACAGAGCACATTAAATGTTAAAGAGTTCTCTTGCTGGAATTATAAAAAGCCAACATTTTGGCTCTTTTA